GGAAATGCACAGTCGCAAGTTTCCTGTCTTCTTTTCCTTAGCTTTATCCACATGTCTATTTCTCTATCTGACTCTCAGTCTATCTATGCCTGTATATCTATATCTACCCATCTATTGAACTTTTTCACTCATGTGTCTATCTATCTCTATCTATCTATCTATCTATCTATCTATCTATCTATCTATCTACACACACACATACACACATATGTGTGTGTGTGTGTATAAACACATAGATACTTGCACGTGTGTACAACCAGTTACCGTATAATCCACACTGTTAAACATTACTATTCACACATTACTATCATGTTACCCTTATACTTATCATTAATGTTTTTACTGTTGTCATGATACTCCCCATTGTCACTGTTTTCATTATCAGCATTTACAAGATCATTTCAGTTGGTATGGTTTCATCATCACGCCTGGCGCTGTTGTCACCATAACTTCACCATTCTAATTGTCTCTGCAACCAATCGTCGATAGCATCATGGCGATCACTGTTATCATTATCTTTCATCATCCAATCTTTTTGCTGTGTACAACTGAAATAGATCTATAAATAAGTAAAAAGTGAATATGTTCAGCATATGAGATTTATGTAAACATTAACCCAAACGTATTCATTCACATCTTAATTAAACAGGTAAACGGCAGACCCATGTCCTAGTTCTGTTACCTGTAATTAATGTGTACGGTATGATAGTTCTGTATCGTATGTTTCTATAGATAAGCGAATACCCTCCCTGGCAAAGACCCAAAATCATTAATTCTAAATTAATAGAACCAGACCACTGAATCATAGGACACAACAAAAAATGTAATCATATACTGTGAGTATAAACCGTATTCATGGTTACAAATGTAAAAAGGTATTAATGATAATAGACATCTTCACAATACAAAAGATGTATCGTGAGGTAGATGGCTGTTAAACAATTCTCTTGGTGGGTCATGTGGTCTTCAATAAAAGTGTGTTTAGTATTATATCACCCATTTAGAGTGTAAATTAGTAATGACATGGTAGCAAAGGGGATTCTTTTAGATTACGTGGCTTCATTCCTCAACATGTCACAGAGACCATTACGAACCGTATTCATGTTGACAAATGTGGAAAGGTATGAATGAGAACGGATATCGTTACAATCCAAGAGATGTATTTAACCGGTTTCGATTATATCTTCGTCAGAAATACATGTATTTCTGACGAAGATATAATCGAAACCGGTTTAATACATCTCTTGTACTGTGATATCCGATCTCATTCATACCTTTCTACAGAGACCAATACCCCTACCATTATCTGGGGCACGTTGTACTCTCACAACAACAGCGATCAAATTACGTTGAACACTGTAATGTACAGCCAGAAAGCAAGGTAAGAACACGTGAGAACATCATCGTATATGCCTAATAAGCAAGGTGACGTTTATGGTACCTTTGCATGTAAAGTTTTTGTTTTTTATTGCACCAGTTGCTAATATTTTCTAGCTTTTCTTACAAGCTCTACTACGTTGAACACTGATGAATTCCTGTGCAAGATATAATAAGGGAATGCCACCTTGACATAAGTGATAGATATGTTTCCGAGAATATCCTTTTTTTACAAAGAACTGACATACAGTGATAAAAGAATAAATAGATTTGAGGGAAAGGGAGAAGAACAAGGACAGCGGATGGAAAGAAAGGACGAAAAAGGAAGAGGAGCAGTATGTATACACACATATATACATATATATATATATTATATTATAATATATATATATATATATGCATGTATGTATATATATATATATATATATATATATATATATATATATATTATATATATTATATATATATATAGAAGAGGGAAGGAGGACGAAAAGGAAATAAAAGAACGAGATGGAAGAGTATGAATGAGATACGAAGAGAAACGGAAATAAAAGAGAAAGAACATGCCATATGCCATTAAAAGAAGAAAGTCATGCTACCTTTTTGCGTGATCCAGTTCCTTTCCGATGTTGCTAATATTAGAACTGCGAAAATAGCGATGACATGAATAAAGGTGACGTTATATGCCATAATCCTTAGGACAGTGTGATGACAGTCATGGTAGCATTATCATAATCATCACCATCACCACCATTCTCAATATCAACTCCATCATCATTACTATTCTAATGATCATCATTATCGTCATTATCATCGCCTTTCTCATCCTCTATTTTTCCTTTCGTATTATCTTCTCAAATGATTATTCTCCTCCTCGTATTATCCGTAAAACCAAGATGTCCAAGCGAATGGTAAAAAATAAGTAAAATAACGTATGATAATTGGGAAGTAATAACCGCAAGCAATACCGTGTGTCGCAGTCACGTTAATACACGAAAGGAGTGCAATGGAGATGCCAGAGAGCACTTTTGTAATTTATTTTTTTTTTTTTTTTTGGGCATTTTTTGTAGAACGTTATTATTTTATGTGTTGATGTATATGTTGATATTGATTATGATAATGGGGTATGAAACTCATCAAAAGGTGGGTTGAGAGAGAGAGAGAGAGAGAGAGAGAGAGAGAGAGAGAGAGAGAGAGAGAGAGAGAGAAGAGAGAGAGAGAGAGAGAGAGAGAGAGAGAGAGAGATATATATGTGTGTGTGTTTATATATAATATATATATATATATATATATATATATATATATATATATATATATATATATACATATATCCACTCACATACACACATATCTCCAGGAACAAAAATGAGAACCTCTGTAAAGAACTTTTCGTCACAGCAGCACCTTCACTGGACACCCGATCCTTCCGTGACAAAGCTTAATGTTGGGCCGTTTATATCAACTTAAATTGATGTACAATAGCGTGACTTTTAAGCTAAGTCGGGGTAAAAGAGGAATAAATTAGAACTTGGCTAAAAGAGTCTTCGGAAGTGGTGTGGATAGCACCAATTGCTCTATTGATCTCTTAAACTGGTAATACATAAAAAAAGAGATAAAGGCTTCTCATTCATATTGTCATTAATACTCGGAGCAGAGCATTTAGTCTTGTGAAAGCGATATTTTGCTACTTTTCGATGCAAGGAAAAAATCTTGGTCTCTGAACTTTCCGTGTGTGTGTAAGTGTGTGTGTGTGTGTGTGTGTGTGTGTGTGTGTGTGTGTGTGTGTGTGTGTGTGTGTGTGTGTGTGTGTGTGTGTGTGTGTCTGCATTCATAAGGCAAACGTTTAGTCAAAGAACACAATATAGGCAGACATATCTTCAACACAAAAAATGTTATATGCAGCTGGACCAAACGAGAATGTAACTGAACATGACAGATGCAAACATTTCTACAAAACAACACCGTGTACAACCAAGCCAGAGGAGATTGTAATCTTTCGAAGTTCATAAACCTAATGCGCATAATACTTAATATTTAATGACCAATCTTTTGTCCGGACAAATTCTTGCCAACGAGCCCCACTCCCGCTGACACAGGCTTAGTCGTCAGCAAAGGGCTCATACGTTTGTGGTCTTTGTGTTCGTCAGCCCCCAAGGCCTCGCAATGTCAGCCTACTAAAGAATTTGATCCCTGGGAAGGCCTAATGACGCCCTCTGTAGCACATTCCACAAGTCGATGTCAGAAGTCTGACATCGATGACAATTATTCCAAGTCATTCCAGGTCGCCGGAAATGTCCGTCTCGAAGACACAGAGTAAGGCTCATTCTCGAACTACACACCACGCAATAGAGCTGCAGATCACCGGCCATAACTGTTGATTTTAATTATTTATTTCTATCTTTATTATCATCTTTTTTTAACCTGTAGCCATAGTGTGTTCTGCCTAAGTTTGCTGCATTTTTTTTGTGTGTGGAAATGAAAGATTCTGTTTTCATTATGTCTATTATATCTCTTCGTTTTGAAACACTATCTATAGTATACAGTGTAGTCTGCATGATTTTGTGGCATTTCTTTTTCATGAAAATGAAAGTACCACTATGCCTTTATCGTGCTAACTCGGCGAAAGGTCCTCTCATGATATTCTTATTACAACTCGTTACTTATTCCTCTCATTACTCATTACTTCACACCAATATCATCAAATATATACATGTCCACCCCATCTCATATCTAGCACTGCTTGATATTTCTTGTTCGATTTTGATGTGTCTATTATAACGCTGCATTCTATTTCCTGCCAGGCATTAATGAGTCGGTGTTGAACGTGCAATATGCTTCGACGATGTACAGATCTGACGACCCTTTCCTGCCCAACGAGTGGCATTACGTGTGTGTGTACTACGACCCTAAGGATGAGAAGGTAGCCTCGTGCTTTTGTTCACATGAAATATCATATGCATTGATATATTTCTGTTTAGATCAGTGATCGCTCACTGCGAAATCTTCCTGTCATTTTCCTCTTCGCTTCCTTCTAGGTGAGGATGCACATGCGAGGGAAAGACAGCGGCCTCGTGAAGGCACCTTGGGAGGCGGAGAACGCCACGGCCGACGAGGCGGACGGCGAGGACGCTCTCTGCCTGGGTTCCTTTGGCGAGTCCCCGGCCTTCGGCGGCGCCATCCTGGCCTTCTCCGTGCAGTCCTGGGAGGCGGACGCGGGCGAAGAGCCCATGCCCTTCCGGGCAGCTGACTGCACCGCCCTCTCGCCCAGCGACTCCCTCGTCACCCTCGACTCGGCGTGGACCGAGTCCGGGAGCGTGAGGACGTTCGACGTCGAGCCGGAGCAGATCTGCTCCGAGGCGTACACCAAGGTCCTCGTCAGGCTCTTCGCGGGGCACCTCCCTCACGCAGAAACGTGCAGGAGGCTGGACGGCCGCCTCCCGACGGAGAGCGAAGTGGAGAGCTCCGTCCTGAATGTCTCCAGCGATCTCGCGCTCAACTGCTCCAATGCCAAGAACGTCTCCCTCTGGCTCGCCGGGCCGAAGCCGAGCCATGAAGTGACGGCAACCTGCACGGCCTTGCTCGCCAACGGCAGCGTCGCGTCCTACCCGTGCATTAGCGAGGTGACGTGCAGCATCTGCTTCGTGCCAGCGAAGAAAAGGTTCACGGTCTACGGGCCCCTCGAAATCTTCGACCACCACTACACCCTGACTGTGGACGCCGAAGGCGCAGCGCAGTTCGTCGGCGACGTCTCGACGATACAGCGAGACGAGGACGGCTGGCTCCTGTCGTCGGACCTCCACGTGCAGACGATGCGCGTGGCGGGGCCGCTGCCAGTGGGCAGACACAGTTGGTTCTCAAGCCTCAAGAACAAGAATATGACCCTGACGATGACCTCCTGTGGGCCTGAGCAGTACTCCTGCGGGGACAACACCTGCATCGAGCGAGCCGCCTTCTGCAACACCATCAGGGACTGTCGCGACGGGAGCGACGAGAGCGCGTGCAGCCCCGTGCGCCTGCCTCCCGAGTACGACAAGAGCAAAAACCCGCGCCTCGGCAGCAGCTCGCAGGGCCACCTCACCTACAGCGTGTACTTGTACGCGCTGAGTGACATCAAAACTATCGAAGGGAAAGTCACCCTGGATATGAATATCTACGTCACCTACAAGGACGAGCGGATAACCTACTGGAATCTCAGAGACTTCGAGCAGCAGATTGACTGCGAAGAAATCTGGCACCCTGAGTTCAACGCTATCGCTGGCAGAACCACGGGCCTTGCGTATCCAATGGACGTCTACGACAAAATATGTGGCGTTTATGGATCGTCTGCCGGACAAATTCGCTCTCTTGATGATCCCTTTATGGGTAAGTTTGAGTAATCTGAACGCGTGTCTATACATGTGCGTGTGTGTGTGTGTATATATATATATATATATATATATATATATATATATATATATATATATACGCATGAAAGACCTTCATCATTTGTGTACATTTGTGTGTAAAGCGTACGTAAAAAAGGAGTGTCACTGAAACAAGTTTTGTGGTCACCGTGTGCACTTACATTCGATGAACATTACCCCCCCCCCCCCCCAAAAAAAAAAAAAAAAAAAAAAAAAAAGAAAAAAGAAAAAAAGGAAAATGACCAAATTGGCACAGAGGCAATTAAAAACCTAAAAGACAACTAGCAAACTTGTTATTTTAATATATACATAATGTCATTCAGTTTTTTTTTTTCTATCACACTCAGTTCATGCACCACTGGTAGCCAGCTTTACTCAGTATCAGTTACTTAAGTATATCCCATAGGAAAGAACAAAACAACTCGGCCATCTCTCTCCCATGATGGTTCTGAGCGTTTCCTAACCATAAACTTTTTTGGATTTATTACTTTCATTCTAGAGACAGCGGATATGGCGACAGATATGGTATTATGAATAAAAATGATCCCTAACCTCATGTCTGTTCAAGCTTAAGCCTTTCCGCCAGTCAACGATATTGGCCAAACTCCTATTGTTTTCCATTAAACTGTTATTAATTATTTTACTTATTAGTTTATCTACTAACTTTTCTAGTTTGACAGTGGATGATGCCACGAAATTTGGACGTCGAGCATTTGAAACCACTTTTATGGAATACGTTCTGGAGAAACACGCAATCTTCCACACGCAGAATACTGGCGAAAAGGGTAATCCTTAACCCCCCCCCCCCCCATCGCCTTCCACCATTTGCACTCGAGTTTCTAAACGCAGGAAAGGGTTGTCTGGCGGGGAGTTTAATGATGTAATGACAGCATCATGGGAGGGAAAAAAGACAGTAAAAAAGAAAAAAAGGAAGAAGTTTCAGCTATTCGACAAAATAACGTCTACCACTGCGGAAATTACTTGTCAAGGTGCTTCTCTGTTTACTGTAGTAAGGGTGCGTCATTCCCTCTCTAAGCTTTGCCCTACTTGTATCTATTTTCACTAAGGTACAAAATGTCTTTTCCCGTATCCGTTACATGGCTGAAGGATTACACCGAAATATTTTATTATACCACCAATTATGTATCAGAAGCTTATTGTACGTAAAGCATTCCCTACCTTTACTTTACACTAAGCCTCATCAAATTATATGAATATAAGACTCTCTTTATGTACGTTTCGTTAGTGTAAAGGTCGAGATTAGTACAGGGGTGAGAAGGGATCGTATATATATCAAGACCATGTATTGCGTTAATGATAAATAGATAAATCGATATAACAATGCAGTTTCAGAAATATGCAATTATAATGTTAATAATGATAATGATAAAATGTCTTGGCGAATGGAAGTGTCCCAGAGTGCATGGTGAGTTGACAGTTATTAATTTATTTTATGAGAGAATGTAATCTCAGTGTTGATTATATTGTCTGAGATTATATTCATGATCCCTACTGTTTACACCCAATGGTCCCTCATCCGGGTCTCCGAGGCTCAGCCCAGAAAGGACGAAGAGAATTTGCAATTGTGCTAAGTGAAAGGAATAAAGAGAAGAAAAGTCTAATGAAATACTTACATCGTGATTAAAATTATTAACATAAAAATTTCTACGCTAGAAGGTTGCCATTTACACAGAATTCTAGGGAAGAGACCAAAGAGTGAAATAAAAAGTTATCATTCCTTCTCGTCAGAGTGGTTGTATATCCTATTTCATAGAAGGTAAACATATGTCATATGATCATACCGTAGATGTTCGAACGTGGTAGAAAATGAACATAAAATTTAAGGCAAAAGGAGTTTATGTAGACCTACCACTGAACGGAATACCCTACAATGGAGCTCAAGTGTACCACCTCGGTAGCTTTCTTAGGCTAAATACGTTGTGTGTTCGGCGGCTAACATACCGACCGTCTGGCCGTTACATGTTAGCTCTTGGGTGTTAAGTGAACGTTGGGCTGCTCCCATGGCGAACCTTTGAGCCACTTTGTCTCTTTCCAGCATCTTGGCTTCTCAAAACAAGACAGGACATGCGCCTATATATACATTCACACACACATACACACACTCATATATATATGTGTGTGTGTGTGTGTGTGTGTATGTGTGTGTGTGTGTGTGTGTGTGTGTGTGTGTGTGTGTGTGTGTGTGGTGTGTGGTGTGTGTGTGTGTATATATATATATATATATATATATATATATATATATATATATACGTATATGTGTTTGGGTGTATATGTGTTGAAAGACAGAAAAGGAGAGGTGAAAGGAATGAGCATGCATAGGCCTGTGCATAATTTGAAGCAATTTCTGATTATGCAAGAGCTGTCAATCTACCTACTGTGTTTTCACTGTACTTACCTATATTCTGCACTTTTTCTTCCTCAGGTGAGTACTTGCCTGGAAAAGAAAGCGAATTATTCAATTCCATAACTTTTCGAACCACCATTCCGTGTAACTTCAAGCTCCACCGTTACCCATTTGGAATACTTCAGTGCAACGTCTCCTACTACATCCTCGATGGCCAGTACGACCTCGCATTTAAGAAGTTCAGTGAGGACATGGAAGTCGAATACGATGGCACTGAGGACCTCCTGGAATACAGATTGAAGAACGTGACGTGCGAGACGTCTAAATACGAGGGCGACGAGCGATACACCTACATCGTGTTGACGCTCCATCTGTCCAGCTTGTACGAATACCACATGCTCAACAGCTTCGCCCCGAGCAGCCTCATGTTTCTGGTAACTCTATCAACGCTGTTCTTCCCGCTTAAGGACTTCAACGAGCGCATTGTCGTGTCCCTGACGTCGCTGCTGGTGCTGGCCACGCTCTTCGCCCAGGCCAGCAGCACATCCGTCAAGACACCCTACTTCAAGCTGCTCGACATCTGGTACACCGCTCTAATCTCCCTGTGCTTCGTGTGTGTCATCTCGAATGCAGTCACACACCGGCTCCTGCACAAGGAGGTGCCTCCCATTAACGTGGTGAAACCGGCGCTGGGGCATGGGAAGGCCTTCACGCCCAACGACGTCCCTGCGAGGTCCTTCAACTGGCTCTCGATTATAGTTCTGTCGGCGCTCTTCATTGCCCTTGTCTTTGTGTTTATCATGCTTGCGACTGAGATGCTGTAGTGGGATATATTGTATTACAAATAAGCCATTGACGTCACCTAACCAATTATAGAACAATAAGAATCGCATTATCTGCATTCATCACCATCACAATGGTCACTTCAGCCGGTTCGAATATAGACTCTTTAACACTTCTATAAAATCATTTAATTATTATTACGTTCCTTCTGTTAGTTTAGTTACTGTCATACTTATTGTTGTCAAATCATTATAATTGTTTATCATCGTTATTATTATTCATGATAACAATGGTAGTCTTATCACCACTATCACTTATACAAAATATATAGTTCATTTAAATGTATTTTCTTATTCTTTCTCATGCTCACTATTTTTGCATTTCGTTCTTTTGTTTATTCTCATATATTTCTGTCTGTCTTTCGTTAACACAATATTGTGTAATATAGATGTTAACTTTTAATGTTTACTGTTATACATTTTAATGTAATATGTAATTCTGTTTCTACTTGCTTTCTTTTCTCTATCCTAAAGCACTAATCACCAATAAAGGAATTATAATGAAAATTCTTCAGAGACAATGATAAATGAAAAGAAAACTATTAATGAAATGATACATAAATTGGTTCCCAGTAGAATCGATACCACTAGAAGTTGCAACAGCAATGGTAAGGGCCGTACATACTCCTTCCGACATACATTAAAATAAAATACTTCTATGTGATATATAAACAGACAGTACTAAAAAGAATTCAAAGATTTTTTTGTCAGTTGCCATCACCACTTCTGCTCCTGTGGGACTTCTTTGGCTAACATCACTTCTGGAAAGACATCAGTTATACAAACACACACGCACTTCTATTATTGATTTGCGCTGTGTATTTCAGCTCATGCACTGTTAGATATGATTTTACAGGGCAAGAGAGCGACCATTGCAATACTTTTCGGAGATGGTCACTGGCCTTTCAGCTTCTGGGTTGCAGAAACAGCACCTTGATTTTGCATAAGGTTTTGGTAAACTACAGTAATACAGGATTCTTTGGGCGAGTTTCAACGTAATCAGGGAACAGTCCATTCACCACAAGAATCCATTTTCAAAAGTAACCGAAGACACATTCAGTATTATTGTGGGTAAATGGATGCCCATGAGCTACCACCGCGGAAAGACACCTAGTAAGATTACATCCGCTCCTTTAACTGTCCTGAAGAAATCACAGACGATGCTACAACGGATGACAAGGAAATAGTCGAAACAAAACAACTTAATTACGAAAGGTATGCACTAAACCTCATTGGAGTAAATTCCTTCAAAACGAACTGTTGTTTGGCTTGGTTAAAGTATACGGTTGAGATCTGAAATGCCCAACCTTTTGGAACAAACGGACACTGATCAAGGCAAATGTGCTTTGGAGAGCCACAATTCCGTACATGCTAGTTACCAGGACCCATTACATGTGATGACCTGAATCGTCCCCATACTGCAGTTTGAGTACAATTCTAGTGTTACAACTTGTGTTCTTTCTTTTATCAGGTAGTGCGAGTCAATTCAAAGACCACCACTTACTATATGCTACATAGGCATTGTAGTGCACGGTCATGTGTAGAGCCCCACTTACCAAGAAGGGTGCCTTAAAGGTCAAGGTTCGTCTCCCCATAAAGGTCACTGGGCATCCGCAGGGCAAGTCCATCCCCTGATGTCAAATCCCCTACTACTATTGATGTTCTACAAGAGATATGACCTTGTTGGATGCCACAGTAGGAAACCTCATAATGTACCAGGGTGAGAGAAGGATAACTGAGAAATTAGATAAAATCACCATGAATAAAAGGAAGGAATAAGCTAGCATAAGACTACAGGATGCAGGACGAGGATAAAATGAAAGGAAAAACTGTAATAGAAGACGAAAGAAAGAAATGAAGTCAAGTAGGAGAACCACGAGGCTGCAGATTATGTGTTTTGTATGTATCCTGTCTTTGATGAATTCTGTCACGTTACCCTCGATACTTAGCTTTCCCGTCCATTTGGGTTCCTTAACTGGAGCTGCCGGCTACGAATTATCGAATCCCTTTGAGATATAAATTTTATATCGCCAGAGCATGAGGAAAGAAGCGCCCCGTGGTGCTGTGGAGCAACCATTGTATTTTCACGACGAGTAGTTTTAAAATGGCAACTATTAGAGTGGATTAATTAGTATTATAATTGGCATTGCTTAATTCGATATTTAGATATACATTTTTCATATTCGAATTCATCATATAAAGTGATTTAATTGACTAATTAAAGAAAATTGTTCACGTGACCTGGCATAATACTTAAATTACTCGAAAATTGTTCCAGAAGTGTTCCTTGAGTGACTTCGACCGCTGCGCCACCTGCCTTCCGTTTGCCGCTCCGTCCCGTTACGAGTCTCTGCCTGTCCTCTCTAGGTCGCTCTCTTCTAGGATTTTTATCTTTATTATATAGTTTACCTGTTTTAAGGTGTTTAGGAAAGCAGGATTCTTTAAAATATGTATCTATGTATGATTAATATACATAAATGACTTGCTGAATACAGCTATGTTATTCATTTATGTGTTTCTTTGTACCCGGGCATGATTCTGAACTTGTTGTAGGCACTAGAGAGTACACTAGACTTTGTGTTATAACAGTGATCAGACTTGAAAGTAACAAACAAGATACAACCGAAATATTTGGCATTAAGAGTGATAATCAGTCGATAGAATCAAACACAAATCGTCCTCATAAATGCATGCACGATGTAAACACAACTGACAGTCAGCAAGCGCAATCTCAGGAAATGTTAACTTGATATTGGCATCAAAATCAATTAAGGGTGTAATATAAGCTCCGACAAAGGGATACTCACCCATGCACGCAACCCCGAACTCACACACGAAAACGCCACACGCCAGTCCACGCAGGCCACGCATACTGGCACACGCAGACAAGCATGTGACAACCATTGTAATTCTATAAATAGCTTACACATACACCCCACGCATGCACGGCGCACATGCAACGTGCGTCCCAAAGAGTGCACGCATTTCAGCATTCGTTCACTCAATCACGCGCAGACATACACGCGCCCAAACGCACGCACCAGTATAAGTAAATGCACATACACGTACACATACACTTGCACATACACATACATATGCATATGCATATGCACATGCAGGTAGGCCTATACATACGAGTACACATGTACTTATACATATGCACATACTTATATACATGTACATAAACACACATGCACATACACACACACATGCACATACACATACACTTGCACACACATACACTTGCACATACACATACACTTGCACATACACATACACATGCACATATACATACACTTGTATATACACATACACATACACATACATACACACATACACATACAAGACATACGCACGTGATGGGATTGCTGAGTACAGTATGTCACGCAACAGAATTGACGACTACACGGGTTATGCTCCTTATTACCAATGTCCGCGAACGAGACGGCAGCCTTTCCAGAATACACTTTATACACTCGCTCTCTGCAGACCAGCATAATCCCCCGTTGAAGT